GAGGAGAATGGAGGAGAAGGGATTATGGCATGACCATCCCCTCTGGGGGGTGATTTCTCATTTTCTGTCTCTTTGTCTCTCTCTGTCTTTCTGGTGAGCACATGCGCCCTATAGCAAAAACCTCTCCCCCCAAAAAAAGAATTATTTTATTTAACTTCATTTATTTATTTTAATTTGACCAGCGAGGGACAGACCAAGAGAGAGGGAGAGAGAAAGTGAGAAAGCAAGCCGCCAGGTCCAAGACTCAGACCGTGGTCGGCCATGTGGGAATCCAGTGCCCTTACCCACCATGCCACCTGCCTTTGTGAGCTTTTATAGTGTCTGCTTTCTCTTTTACTCCTAACTTCCTTCCATTCTGTTTCCCACTGAGTAAGGGGGCAGGAGCCCGTCACGTTCGCCTGACATCCCTCTCCTAGGCCCTGGTACCTGGTCCCAGTCTGGCTCCACCCTCATCCTGCTGTGTGGTCCTGGGGAAGCCCGGCCTCGGTCTCCCCACCTGGCTCATGCAGCGGTTAATTGTGAGCTTTGTCCTGCAGCAGACACCTGGCTGGGAGGGCACACAGTGTAGAGTGGGAGTGGTGATGGTGGGGAGCAGAGAGGGGTGGCAGCTTGTCTTGAGCCCCACCCACTGGTGACATCACACAAGACACCTCTAGTCTCTCGAAGCCCCACCCCTTGTGGCTGTCACCTGTGGAAGTGCCACCCAATGCTTGGCATCTGGTGAATTTGCCCAGTTCCACAACGACGTCATCAGCCTCCAGGCCTGAGAGAAGCCCCTAGGTACATGGTGCAGTTTGGGGGGATCGGAGGGGCTGCGAAGGGGTGCTGGGCTGGGCTGGGGTCCTGGAGCAGGCTGGTCCTGGCAGACGCCTCGGAGCGTGCCCCAATGGTGCCTCTGGATAGCCACCCTCGTCCTGGCTTTTGTTTGTCCCCTGCCCCTCTCTCCTCTCCCCTGGATTCAGAGTCCCTTTCCGTGGAGTCTAGAGATAGGGACTAATTCTGAAAATAGAGTTGATTAGGGCCAGCCGCGGCTCGGTAGTTGAGAACCTTACCCCACATGGCTGACTGCAGTCTGAGCTCTGGACCCGATGGATTGAAAAAAACACCGTGTTGGGACCAGCAGACGGCGTAACCGCTGGATATCCAGATCACTGGACTCCCATGCAGTCCACTGCAGTTCGAGTCCCGGACCCGGTGGCTGAAACTCACGCCGGGCGCATGTGCATGCGTGCCCAAGATCCCGAGAGGAGAATGGAGGAGAAGGGAGTGTGGCGTGGCCATCCCCCCTGGGGGGTGATTTCTCGCTTTCTGTCTCTGTCTCTCTCTGTCTGTCTGGCGAGCGCACATGCCCTATAGCAAAAACCTCTCCAAAAAAAAGAAAAGTTTTGCTAGAGAGTGTGTCTGCTTGCAGAGAGAGAGGAGGAAAGTGAGAAAACACTGCCCATAGGAGATGACCACGTTGCAACCCTGTCTCCTTCACTTCTCCTTTTTAAAACTTAACTTAAAATTTTTTAAGAGTTATTTTTACTTATTATCTTTATTACTATTTTTTGGAGAGGTTTTTGCTATAGGGCGCGTGCACTCACCAGAAAGACAGAGACAGAAAGCGAGAAATCACCCCCCAGAAGGGATGGCCACACAGCAGCATTCATTCCCTTCTCCTCCATTCTCCTCTCAGGATCTTGGGCATGCACGCACATGCGCCCAGTTTGAGTTTAAGCCACCAAGTATGAGACTCGAACCTCGGTCGACTACATGGGAGTCCAGTGACGTAGGCATTACACCATCTGCTGGTCCATCATGATTGTTACTATTTAAAATTTGCTACAAGGCACAGTGAATTGCCCAGTCCAAGGCTTGAATTACAGTCGACTGTGTGGCAGTCCAGTGCCCTAATTACCATGCGACCTGCAGGCCCCTCCATTTCTCCTCAGATTGTCTGCAGGTTATCTATTTATTTATCTTTAATACAGAAATTTGGGTTAACAACACAATGATGATAAGCCTGACTTAAGCAGCTGGTGCCAGACAAAACTGTCCAATTATGAAATGACTAATGTTACCTTGTCTTCAAGGTGCAGTTTCAGGCAGTGGCTCATCGTGAGGGCAGGGTGTCTGGGCCGCCGGCTAGGTGGGTGGCCAAGGTGCTTAACTTGGCGACTAGGTTTCCTTATCTGGAAAATGGGCCTAATGATAGTATCTACCTCATAGGGTTGTCACAAAGATTAAATAAAGGACCAGCAGATGGCATAGTGGTTATGTCATTGTACTCCCACATGGCTGACCATGGTTCAAGTCCCAGACCTGGCGGCTTGAAACTACTGCCAGACATGGGTGCATGCATGTACGTGCCCCAAATCCCAAGAGAAGAATGGAGGAGAAGGGATTGTAGCATGGCCAGCCTCCCTGGGGGAGTGATTGCTCACTTTCTGTCTCTGTCTCTCTGGCAAATAAATGCATACGTCCTATAGCAAAAATCTCTCTTAGAAAAAAATGGTTAAATGAGTCATTTACACATAAAGTACTTAAAACAGTGCCTGGCACATGGCAAGTTGCTGGGTACGCATTTGCCCTTATTTGTTTCTATTTCTCTAATCTCTCCCAGACCACGAAGTTCCTGAGGGCAGGGATCAATCTGTTCTCTCTGGGCTCCAGTTAAGTCTAAGGCACAGAAGGGCTTAGTGTTTGCTAAACGAGTGAATGAATGGATGGATAATTGTGTGTGTTTTTGTAAAGAATTATTTAACTTCATTTATTTTTAACTTGACCAGAAAGGGACAGAGGGAGAGAGAGAGAGAAAGAGAGAGAGAGAAAGCTGCCAGGTCCAGGACTCGAACTGCAGTTCACCATGTGGGATTTCAGCGCCATTAACCACCATGCCACCTATTAACCCCATGTTTTTTATTTTTATTTTTTAGAGGTTTTGGCCATAGGATGTTGGGCTAGACAGAGACAGAGACAGTGAGAAATCACCCCCCAGGGTGAGTGGCCATGCCGCGATTCCTTGTCCATTCTCCTCCTGGGATCTTGGGCACGCACACACACGCGCCCAGTGTGTTTCAAGCCATCAGGTCTAGGACTTGTGCTATGGTTGGCCATGTGGGAGTCCAGCAACATAACCACTATGCCATCTGCTGGTCCTGGATGATTGCTCTTTTTTTAAATTATTTTTTTTAGAGAAATTTTTTCCTATAGGGCGTGTGTGCTCAAGAAAGAGAGAGGGGAAGTGAGAAGTCACCCCCTGAGGGGATGGCCATGGCGCATCCCTTCTCCTCCATTCTCCTTTCAGGATCTTGGGCATGTACACACACTCCCTGATGTATTTCAAGCCACTGGGTTGGGGATTTGAACCGTGGTCGACCATGTGGGAGTCCAGCAATGTAACCACTACGTTACCTACTGGCCCCAGATGATCGTTTGTTTTGTTTATAAGAGAGGTTTTTGCTATAGGGCTCCTGTGCTCACCGGAGAGACATGCAGAGAGACAGAAAGCGAGAAATCATCTGGGGGTTTGGTCACACCTCAATCCCTTCACCTCCATTCTCCTCTTGGGATTTTGGGCACTCATGAACATATGCCTGGTGTGAGTTTCAAGCCTCCAGGTCCAGGACTTGAACTGTGATTGGCCATGTTCGATTCCATAGACATAACCATTATGCCATCTGCTGGTCCCTGGATGATTGTGCTTTCAAAACTAAATTGTGAGACTGGCCTTGTAACCTAGTGGTTAAGAGATTGGATCCCACATAGCCAATTGTGTTGAGTCCCAGCTCTTGCAGCTTGAAAACATGCCTGGCACATGTACCAAAATCTCAGCAGGACGGCCAAACAGCCTGACAGGATGGAGAAATGGAGGAGGAGGGATTGTGGCACGACTCCACCTCTCAGCCTCTCTCCTCTCTTTCTCTGGCAAAAAAAAAAAAGAGGAAGTAAAGGCCAAATTGTATAATCATTAGAGAGCCGAGGAAGGGAGAGGGCATTAAAGAGGTCTCCCTGGAGGTGGCAGTTTAAATTGATCCTAAAGGATTTCAGCTGGGGGGAGTCAGCAGGTAGCATAGTGGTTAAGGAGCTGGATTCCCACATGTCTGACCACAGTTCAAGTCCTGGACCCAGTGGCTTGAAGATCACAACAAATAAATAAACAAATAAATATTAAAAAAAAAAAAGAAGAAATCACAAACCATGGGCAGTGGGGAAGAGGGGAAGGAGAACTTGAGGGAGAGAAGGGGCTGTCTTATGGGATTGGTTGTTCAGAAAATGTGGGGCCTTGAAGAGAGTGAAATGTTAAACTGTGATGACCCCCTCATTCAGCAAAGGTCGGGTGGCACTACTTGCTGAGCACGAGGGGTTCCCAGAAGAAAGTGAGCTGGCCTGCCTGCCCACCGTAGCGTGCCCGAGAAGTGTCACAGTGGCCAGGAGAAGACCCACCACAGGGCCAGGGACACATTCCAGAAAAAAGGGGTTTTGAGGAATGAATAGGAGTTTCCCAACAGAAGGGGTCTCAAGCAGAGGGAACAGCCTGTGTAAAGCTGTGGACACGTGAGACAGCAGTCCCAGGGGTGCCTCGGGGCTGAGCAGGAAGGCTGAGGGTCAGTGGGAGACCCTGGCCACTGCAGGGGCTGTAGGTAGGGCCGGCACACCTCTTACTAAGGTCATTGTCACATTGCTGGAGCAGGGACACCAGCTGGGAGAGGCCTCAGGTTCCCTTCTCGTGTATTGAACACGGTCAGGGCTGCACTTCACGGGAGAAACCAGCTGGGGCTGCCTGTGGGGCCTGAGTGGGAGCGAAGTGACTGAGGCAGGGAGCCCTGTCATGTACCGCATGCCTCAAACATGTTTAATACATGTTTGTAAGCACTTACCACGTGCTGGGTACTGTTCTAAGGACTTGGGACACGTCAGCGGACCAAATGATGGTCTCGGCTCTCCTGAGGCCGGACCGGGGCCTACCATTGGCTCCTCCTCTCTTCCCAAGCCCGCGGTCAGGGTGAGGGTGTGGGAGGGAGGCAGAGCTGGCATCAGAGCCCCGGCTTCTGTGACTGTCTCTGGGCTCTTTCCCACGTCCCGTGCAGGCCCACAGCCATGGCCATGGTACTGGCCCAGAAGCTCAGCCACCTCCTGCCCGGTTTGGGGCAGGCTGGCCAGGAGTCTCAGGCGTCCCTACAGCCAGAGCCCGTCTTCACGGTGGACCGCGCGGAGGTGCCGCCCCTCTTCTGGAAGCCGTACATCTACGCGGGCCCCCGGCCGCTGCACCAGACCTGGCGCTTCTACTTCCGCACGCTGTTCCAGCGGCACAACGAGGCGGTGAATGTCTGGACGCACCTGCTGGCGGCCCTGGCGCTGCTGCTGCGGCTGGCCCTCTTTGTGGGCGCCGTGGACTTCTGGGGAGACCCGCACGCCCTGCCCCTGTTCATCATCGTCCTGGCCTCCTTCACCTACCTCTCTTTCAGTGCCTTGGCTCACCTCCTGCAGGCCAAGTCCGAGTTCTGGCATTACAGCTTCTTCTTCTTGGACTATGTGGGCGTGGCCGTGTACCAGTTTGGCAGTGCCCTGGCGCACTTCTACTACGCCATCGAGCCTGCCTGGCACGCCCAGGTGCAGGCCGTCTTCCTGCCCATGGCTGCCTTCCTGGCCTGGCTCTCCTGCACCGGCTCCTGCTACAACAAGTACATCCAGAGGCCGGGCCTGCTGGGCCGCACGTGTCAGGAGGTGCCCTCGGCGCTGGCCTACGCGCTGGACATCAGCCCCGTGGTGCACCGCATCTTGGTGTCCCCTGACCCTGCCACGGATGACCCGGCCCTTCTCTACCACAAGTGCCAGGTGGTCTTCTTCCTGCTGGCTGCCGTCTTCTTCTCTGCTTTCGTGCCCGAGCGCTGGTTCCCTGGAAGTTGTCACATCTTTGGGCAGGGCCACCAGCTCTTCCACATCTTCTTGGTGCTGTGCACGCTGGCCCAGCTGGAGGCCGTGGCACTGGACTATGAGGCCCGGCGGCCCATCTATGAGCCCCTGCACACCCACTGGCCCCACAACTTCTCCGGCCTCTTCCTGCTCACCGTGGGCAGCAGCGTCCTCACTGCCTTCCTCCTGAGCCAGCTGGTGCGGCACAAGCTTGATCAGAAGACCAAGTGAGGGGAGGCGTGGGGGCGGGTCCAAGCGTGGCTCCACAGGGAACAAGGCCTGTAAAGTTGTTTGTGTCTGGCCCGCGGTGATCTCTGCGCACACCTCAGCTGCCCCGGGCTACACTACCTGTCCTGGAGTTGGGGACCAGGAGAGCTGCAGGCGTCTACTCCTGGGCCTGCCCCAGCTCCTTGCCCTAGGAGCAGGAGAGAGGGGAAGATGTGGGCCGCCCTGGCTGCCCCTGCACTGCCCCTCCCTAGGTGTAAGGCTGGGGGTCAGCTTGGGTCAGGATCCCAGTTAGGGCTCCCAGGCAGTCTGGGTCAGGGTGAAGGTGTAGGCCAGGGAGAGCTTTGAGCAGATGCAGGGGAGCCTTAACAATACACCTCTCTCCAGGTTTCACTGGTTGATGGGAAGGGGCAGGCCCCAAGCTCTTACTGTCCTTGAACCCCAGCTGGAAGTGTTGGAGCTCCAGAGAGCCCCACAGGTAAAGGTTGTGCCAGATGCAATTGGACCCCACCCTGTCTGCTCTGCCCATCGGTCACTATCCCAGACAATGAGCCCTGGGTCTCCTAGCTCTGACCTCTGCACCCACGCGGCCTGTGCCCAGCTTCAGTCCTGGTTCCTTGTTCACGGTTCAGTTATTCCATTCAGTGTTTCCTGGGTTCTGGCTGGGCCTGTGGATCAGTGAAGGAAGATGAAGGCTTTCATGTGGGAACAGACTGTCCAGGGAATAAGCAATCTGGAACCTCGGGCTCTGGGCTGGGGAGGGTGAATAGGAGTTTGCAGATGGAGACTAGAAGAGCATTCCAGGCAAGGTGGGAAGACCTGTGCAGAGTTCCAGAGGTGTGGAAGGAGTTAAGTGGGGCTGTAGCTAGGGGTGGCCTTGACGCGAGTATGTTCTGGGTGCAATAAAGTCACTGTGTTGATAGCTGCTTCGTTCTTTTCGACTTCTGTCCCAGGGAGCGGGCCCTGCTTACAGGATTGGGAGAGGTTTTCAGAGGAAGTTGGAGCCCTAGGAGTGGACAGCAGGGTATAGGGGAGCAGTTTCCATTTTATCTTGGCCTAGGGACAGGGTTGGGCATTATATAAAATACATACACAGGGACTAGCAGTTAGCGTAATGGCTATGTCGCTGGACTCCCATGTAGTCGACTGCGGTTCGGACCTGGTGGCTTAAACTCACGCCGGGCGCATGTGCGTGCGTGCCCAAGATCCCGAGAGGAGAATGAAGGAGAAGGGATTGCGGCGCGTAGCCCTCCCCCCTGGGGGAGTGATTTCTCGCTTTCTCTCTCTTTGTCTCTTTCTGTCTGTCTGGCGAGTGCACGTGCCCTATGGCAAAAACCTCTCCAAAAATAAATAAATAAATAAAATAAAATATATTCACATATCTACCTACCTATATATGAAATTTTCTTACTAAATGTAATTATTAAACACATTGAATTATAATATATTATATGCATTCAATTAAATAATGTATTTACTAAATATATTAAATTAAAAACATTATTTAAAAATTATTTATTATTAAATACATTTCAGAAGTAGTTAAAGAGTGTGTTTAAAAACATATAATCCTCATGGTGAGCAGAGAGCGTAGCAGTTAAGTTGCTGGACTTCTACATCACTGACTGTGGTATATATAATATATTATATGTATATATATAAAATATGGCCAGCCAGTGTCATGGTGGTTAAGGTGGCTGGATCTCACATGGCCGACTGTATGTTTTGAGTCCCACACAGCAGCCTGAAAAACATGCCAGGCTTTGTGTGTGTGTGTGTTCAAAATCCTGAGAGAAGGGAGAGAAAGAAGAGGAGGGATTGCAGCATGATTATCCCATGGGGGGACTTTCTCACCTTCCCTTTTCTGTCTCCAGTGAGTGCACACACCCCCAGGCAAAAGTTTAAAAGTATATATGTGTGTGTGTGTGCATACATACATATATACACATACATATACACACATATGTATATAATTCTGCTTTATAATTTGACAAAGATTTCATTGTTTGGTTTTTCCTTCAATCAAGGAGAATTTTGTTACCTTTTATAATAATGCAGGCGGGACCAGCAGTTGGCGTAATGGCTATGTCGCTGGATTCCCATGTAGTTGACCACAGTTCGAGTCCCAGACCTGGTGGCCTAAACTCACGTCGGGCGCATGTGCATGTGTGCATGCTCAAGATCCTGAGAAGAGAATGGAGGAGAAGGGATTGCGGCGTGGCCATCCTCCCGGGGTTGATTTTTCTCTTTCTGTCTCTCTGTCTCTCTCTGTCTTTCTGGTGAGCGCATGCGCCCTATAGCAAAAACCTCTCCAAAAATGAAATAAAATAAAATAATGCAGGCAATTAGGTACAATGAAAGAAAATTAGGATGTAAGATCAGAAAAAATACCCACGAAAATAAGAAATACCACTCCACTGAGGCCAGCAGATGGTGTAATGGTTACATCACTGGACTCTCGTGACTGTGGTTCAAGTCTCAGACCTGGTGAATTAAACTCATGCCAGGTGTGTGTGTGTGTATGTGCCCAGGATCCCAAGAGGAGACTGGAGGAAAAGGGATTGCGGCATAGCCATCCCCCCAGGGTGATTTCTTGTTTTCAGTCTCTGTCTTTCCAACAAGTGCACACACCCTGTAGCAAAAAGCTCTTTTTTAAATATATAATTCCTTTCCTAACAATTATTTTATTTACTTTTAATGTTTATTTATTTATTTATTTTAATTTGACCAGAGAGGGACAGAATGAGAGAGAGAGAGGGAAAGTGAGAAAGCAAGTTGCCAGGTCCGGGACTCGAACCGTGTCGGCCATGTGGGATTCCAGTGCCCTTAACCACCGCGCCACCTGCCAACCCTGCGAAAAGCTCTTAAAAAAATAAAAAAGAAATATGCTAAAATGTCCTGAGGGACCTATGAGATATATATAGCTATAGGAACTATATGACACATGGAAATTGTGTCATTGGGAGCCAGCAGGTGGCACAGTGGTTAGGGCTGAACTCCTACATCACTAAACGCAGTTCCAGTCCTGGATCCAGCAGCTTGAAACTCATGCCAGGTGTGTGTGGTTCGTGCCCAAAATCCCAGGAGGAGAATGCAGGAGAAGGAACAGCAGTATGGCCATCCCCCCGGGGGTGATTTCTCAGTTTCTCTCTCAGTCTCTCTTTGTTTCTCCTAGTGCATGTGCCCTGTGACAAAAACCTTTATAAAAATTATCTATTATTTATAACATCTATGGGGATTGTGGTCAGAGGTGAAAATGTTTCTAGACCACTGTGTAGATGGGGCCTGACTGCTCAGAGCACAGTAAGCCAATTCCTAAGAGGGAAGTTTGCTAACAGGAAGGCTTTGTTATGGAAGACATCAATAGGGAGAGCAGGAGAGTTCAAGATTCTTTAAGTATCATCCCCACACGAGACCAGCAGTTGGCGTAGTGGCTATGTCACTGGACTCTCATGTAGTTGACCGCAGTTGGAGTCTCACCGTGCGTGTGCATGCATGCCCAAGATCCTGAGAGGAGAATGGATTGAAAAAAAAAAATGGAAAGAATCTCCACAATCAAGTAGCGAGCCAGGCTTTTTTTTTTTCTTTTTATAGAGATTTTTGCTATGGGGCGCGTGTGCTCACCAGAAAGACAGAGACAGACAGAAAGCAAGAAATCCCCCCCCAGGGGGATGGCCATGCCACAATCCCTTCTCCATTCTCCTCTCGGGATCTTGGGCACGCACACACATGCACCTAGTGTGAGTTTAAGCCACTGTGTCTGGGACTTGAACTGCAGCTGACTACATGGGAGCCCAGAGACATAGCCATTACACTAACTGCTGGTCCTGCAAGCCAGACTTTTAAACCCAAGTCAAGAATGTGCTATTGTGAGGGTCTTGGGGTAGGAATTTGAATCTTTCCAGAGAAGATTTTTTTGTTTTTGTTTTTGTCATAGGGCAAGTTCACTTGCTGGAGACAGACAGCGAGAGGGAAAGTGAGAACTCACCCCTGGGGGAGGGCCACACCACAATCCCTTCTCCACTTCCTGTCACGATTTTGGGCACACACACACACATGCCCAGTATAATTTTCAAGCTGGGACTGGGACTCGAACTGTGGTTTGCCATGTGGGAGTCCTGTGCCTTAACCACTATGCTGCCTGCCGGCCTTTTTAACGTCATCCTTGATGGAGGGTGTTTTCTTGGTGCTGGGCAGTCTTGTGATTTTCTCCTCAGGTCTGGTCTAGGCAAGAACTCAAGACAAAGAGCCCTTGGGGCACCTGGATCTCCTTGATCTCTATATGCTACTTGTGACTGTCTTGCAAAATCTGGACAATGAAACTATCACAATGTGGTCACTTCAGGGCCATCATTGTAGATTGCTTAGTCGAGAGAAAGCATGAGCTCAGCTATTTGCATGAAGTAAATTACCTAGTATTCTAGGGCATCTTTCTTTTTTTAAGTACACAAGTTTGTGCACTAGTGTGGGTACAGGGAGAGACAGAGGTGAGAGGGAAAGTGAGAAACCACCCCACCAGGGGGTTGGCCATCCCACCATCCCTTCTCTTCCATTATCCTCCTGGGATCTTGGGCACACACGTACACATGCCCACCATGACTTTCAAGTCACCGGGTCTGGGACTTGAACTATTGTCTGCCATTTGAGAGTCCAGCAATGTAACCACTATGCCATCTGCTGCCCCCTTCCCCTTTTAACCTGGTAAATATTTAAGACTAATAAAAGGAAACCAATATTTTTTACTTTTCAGGCCAGCATCAAAAGTGTAGGAGTTGGAAGATCTGGAACTTAAGTCCAAAGTAGTATTTTTAACTGCGAGTATTTTCATTTTTGCCTTTTCAAGGTGCTTTCAGAATTTACAAAGCACTTTTACAAGTTCACTTAGCCCTCTTTAAAAATCTAAAGTTAGGGGTCAGTAGGTGGTGTGGTGGTTGGGGAGCTGGACTCCCACATGGCCAGCTATGGTTCAAGTACCAGACCTGGTGGCTTGCTTTCTTACTCTCTCTGTGCGCACGTGTTTTATAGGAAATTAAAAAATAAATAAAATAAATAATTACTTTTAGGAAATCATATTACATAGTAAGTGGTGAAAGCTGGTCTGACAGTTCTTGACTCCTAATTTTTTTGTACAGTTTTTGGTTTTGCATGCACTCCTGGGAGAGAGGGGAAGAGGGAAGGAATGTGAGACGTGGTGGGGAGGCACACTGCAGCTGGCCTGGGCATCGCAACCCCTTCTCCATTCTCTGGGTGCCCTGCTTAGCTGCTGACTCCAGGACTCAGAGTAGGTCATGTGGGATCCTTAAGGACACCACCTGCTGACGCCCTTGACTCCTAACTTTTACTTAAAAGCTTTCAAACCCTTTTCCATTCGGTTTCATAGATTTTCTTTCTTTTTTAATTTCCTAATTACAAAACAATTCGCACACTCGAGAGTCTGATAACCATGTAGCGTTGAGGACCCCAGCTGCGGAGTGGGCTGACCTGAGCCTCGGCTCCACGCTTACTTTGGGGATGACTGCGAGGATTCAGTGATGAGACAGGAACAGCGCTGAGACTCGGGTAATTCTACCTACCGTAAAAGAGTGTAATTCAGCCAAAAGGAAATGTGCATCCCTGTCGAGGTCGAGAACGGTTCCCATAGCAGTTTCTGGACCCCAGCTCCTGAAAGAGAACACCAGGAAGAACACAAACCCCAGGCGAACTAAAGGCGCTCCAAACACGCGAGGATCTGGCTCGGAAGCTGTCAGACTGTCCGGAGGGCTTAGAGGGCGTGTCCGACGGCGGGGCGTGTCCGACGGCGGGGCGTGTCCGACGGCGGGGCGGGGCCGGCGGGCGTGGCTCCGCCCCAGGCTTTGGCGCGAGATCCGAACGACGACGGCGCCGGCGGCCCTGGCCCTTCCCTC